CCCCAAAACCCCAAAACCCCAAAACCCCATATCCCTGATAAATGATTGAGTAATGTAATTTTCAAAGTAAATATCCTGTTAAGGAAGGGTGACCAATAAGTCACTGGAAGGCAGAATTGGCAGAGCACGAAGAACCTTATGAGCAGACTGCTGATTAAGGAATACCTTCTCAACTCTTTCAGCCTTTTCAGAAGAGTAATCAGCTGGAGGCTTGATTTTAACTCTTCCAATCACCTTCCAATCTGCCGACTTTTCAATTTTGGTTGAAGTATCGGCATTGGTATATTTTTGGAATGAGGTTCCAAGGTCACCTTCTGGATGACCACTGAATATGACTTCATTGATCTTCTTCATATGAGCATTGACTTTCTTCAAACTCTTGAGTGTACTCTTCTTGTGTTTGATAGATTCTTCAAGATATACCTTAGGGTCGGAAATTGCATCTTCGTTGTTGTCTCCAATCTTAAATACTTTAGCCTTACACATTCTTGCTCTAAGTGTGGATTTTATTCCATTTATTTCATTAATAGATCCGTGAATTTCTGCTTCTTCCTCATCTTGGAGTCTGAGACTCCTAGTAACTGGGTTGAACAGAGAAGGCTCAATATCTTCATTTACCTCTTCTATTGTGTTATTTTGCTTAAATACTTACCTGAATTTAAAAATTTGTTAAAGCTAATACTATCCTTTGACAACTTAGTCATTCTGTTAAAGAGTTTAGACCTCTTCAGAGCAGCATTTTCTTCTTGAAGTTCATACATAACATTCATTGAGCTTTCATCCATAATTTTGTTTGGGTTATTAGAAGAATTTGATCTCCCAATTATTTTGCCTATTGGGTTCCTTCTCTTATCTCCTCTTCTGGTATTGACAGAATTGGCAGCTTCTTCTGCCTTTTTCTTCAACTGATTCTTCTCTTCTTCTAATTTGTCAATCTTTTCTTTCAATGTTTTTGTAACCTTCTCTTGTGAGGTAAGTTGTCCTTGGATAAAGGAAAGCTTCTCTTCTAATCTCTTTTTCTCAGCATTCAATGAGGTTAATTTTTGAGTGTCCAACTCCAATTCAGCTATTTTACGCTCTAGAGTATCTTTAATAATCTCAAGATTATCTGATGTCTTTTTGAGCTTAACATATGCAATATTCTGATCTTTTATTTTTTGAATCATCTTCTCATTCTCATCTTTCATGGCGTCAGTCTGACTTAGAGATTCATTGATCCTGTTAGCAAGCTCCATCCATGGGCCTTTAGACATTTTCTTAAGGAATGGGCTTGAATTTTCTTCTTTTGTTCTATCTTTTAACTCTTGCATAGAGTCTTCAGACATGATAGTTGAGTGTTCTCTGTCAACAGAGTCTAACCAAGCGTACCAATCATAACTGATCTTTCCTGCAGAGGGAGTTTTGTCTTCGCTCTCAGTGACGATCTCATCACCTTCACCCTCACCTTCCTTTGTCTGCTCTGTTGTCTCAGATTGTTTTGATAGTTCATCAAAGGCCATAGAGTCTTCCTCCCAGAATTTTTGAACAAACTCGTATTTATCCTGAAGTCTTTGGATGAGATGGAAATTTCCTTTGAAATATCCAGTACCGTGGTCATCTTGCTCAATTTCATCAATAGCGAGAATTGAGTCGATTATTTTAGAGTATACTTGAGTGCATCTCTCTTGTAAAGCCATGTCTTGTTCCTTTCCTTCATAGAAGCTCTTCTGTCTCATGTAGAAACCTAAAGCAAGAATAGCAAGCCCAATTTTTTGGATTTTTTCTTTTACAACATTTTTAGGAACTTCACAAATATCCATTTCTTCATTATCAGCTGGGTTTTGCTTAAGCACTTCGTTGACGACATTCTTGATATTTTCGTTGAAGAAGTTTTCAAACTCTTCAAGTGTCTCTTGGAAGCCATCTTGGCTTACCTTTGTGGTCAATGTATCATCTCTAATCATATTGATCATATTGTCAAGGAACGAATTAGCGAAGACAAAGTTTTGCCAGAATGAAGAATCAGCAATAGTTTTATAACTTTCAGCATCCATAAATGTCAATGCATGAAGAATATTTTGGCATAATGAAGAACATTTAACGCAGTTATCCCCTAAGGTGCACATGTACTTGAAGTACTCGTAGCTTTGAGAAACACCTTCTCCGTAAGAGAAATCACTTCCTTCAATGAATTTTCTCTTACACAATTCAGTGTATGTCAAATATGCTTTATTTTTAACATAGATTACCAATCTGATCTTATTAAAGTTTGAAATGTATCCTTCTCTAAGTAACTTTTCAGGAATAAATGAGCTATACAGGTCTGCAAGAGTATTAGATATTCCAACATTAATCTCAGCTAGTGATCCTCCAATCTCTTTCCTTGCTGATTCTCTTAATTTGTTGGAGAGAATCTTTTGATTATTCATCATTTCTTTAATCTTATTTTTAGTTTGATCATCATAAGCATCATTCAATTGTTCGTTGAGGATATTTACTTCTGTGTTTAATTCATTAATCCTTTCCTTATGCTTAGCTTCTGTATCATCCTGCTCAAGAAGAGCTTCTTCTAGAATCTGAATATCATTCTCCATTTCTTGAATTTTGATATCCTTTTGCTCGATTTCATCTCTGAGTTCATTCTCATAAGCAATTTGCCCTTCATTAATTTCCTCTTGTACAGCTTGAACTTCTTCATATTCCTGAATTCTTTGCTGAAGTTCATCAATATATTCTTCTTTCTCAACAAGCTCTTCAGTAAGCTCTTCAACAATCTGCTGGAACTCAGTAGCTTCTTCAACAGTCTCTCTCATTTCCTCTATCTCTTGATCTCTTTCTTCAACTGCATCTAGGAGTACATCGACATCCTCAACTTTCTCTTCAAGCTCAGCTTTTTCTTTCTCCCATGCTGCTCTCTCAACCTCTACATCATTGTTGAGTTTTCTAAACGCAGCCCTAAGATTCTCATTTTGATACTTAAGTTCATCTTCAGTCATGCTTTCCTCCATCGCCTTTCTTCTGTCTTCCTCTTGCTGCTTCATTTCTTGCTCAATGATCTGCTTCTCTTCGACAGCAATCTCCTTCTCAACAACCAAGGTTTCAATATCGAGCTTTAAGCTCTCAATTTCTTCCTCTTTATTAGCATTGTCTTCACTGTACTTCTCGATCTCAGCCTGAAGCTCTTGGATGATCTTCTCTTTATCCTCAACATCAGTCTTTGCTTTCTCTTCTTTAGCCTTGATTTCCTCAAGTTGTTCTTTAGACATACTGATGTCATCGACACTTTTCTGGTTAGACTCTGCTCTTTCAGCCCTCTTGGTCAATGTCTTTATCTTATCGTTCTTTTCTTCTAGATCAATCTCTTTTTGTTCAATAATGGCCTCGAACTCTAATTTTTGTACTTCCATCTCAGTACTATGAAGTTCATCAGAGTTTTTCAACTTTTCATAGACTTCTTGGAGTTCAGAAGTCATCTTTTTAATCTCAACTTCTTTCTTGGCAAGGTCAACCTTTGCTTGTTGGAGCATCTTGAGATTACTTCCAGTCATTCCTTCTTCTTCACCAGGGCGTCTGAATACCTTTTTCTTAGGTTGAGAATCTTCCTCTAGTTCCTCTTCATGATCATCTTCTTTATCTCCTTCTTGACCATCTTCATGGTCTCCTTCTTGGTCTTCTTCTTGAGTTCTATGATCTTCTGTGTTTTCAGTAGCTTCTTGGTCATCTATTTCTTCATTTGTTTCTTGTTCCTCTATCTTCTTGTTAGCTTTTTCAGTATCTGGCTCTTCTTTTGCAGGTTTCTTCAAGACTTTCTTTACAGGTTCAGTTTTTTTTGTATCCTCTTTAGGCTTTGGAGCAGGTTTCTTTAGTCCTCCCATTTTGCTAGTTGCTCCTGGTTTGGCCAATCCTCCAACTTTTGAAGAGCCGCCTGGTTTAGCTAAACCTCCAGCTTTAGATGCACCCGCTGGTTTTTTAAGACCTGCCAACTTTCCTTTACCTGCTCCAATCCCTGATTTAGTTCCTCCAATTCCAGATTTAGCACCTCCAATACCAGTTTTAGCTCCTCCAATACCGGTTTTAGCTCCTCCAATTCCTGATTTAGCTCCTACTCCAGTCTTTTTCAATCCTCCGATTTTAGCTTTAGAAGAAGATCCTGCAAGTTTAGTCGCTTCTTTATTTAGCTTCTTCAGCATCAGCTCCTTCTTTAGAAGTTTCACTTGCTTTAGTTGGCTTTGCTAGCTTGTTTCCAGCAGCTGGCCTAGCAAATTTTTTAACAGCTGGCTTCTTAGCCTCTTCTTTCCCCTTAAGCCCAGCTGCTCCCGCTCTTCTTGCCTTGACTTTGTTCTTCATATCTTCTTTCTTTTGGGCAAGAGTCTTGGCTCCTTCTGGCTTCTTTAGTCCTTCTCCAGGTTTCTTCATACCAGGTTTTGCTCCGCCAATCCTAGATCCCGCTTTTATCTTAGAGATCTTATTTGCCTTTGCTTCTTCACCAGCAGTAGGCTTCTTTATTGCTGAAGCTCTTGTTGGTCCTTTGAGACCTCCAAGTTTGGTCGATCCTCTGACACTCTTCCTTTCTTCTTGAGATGTATCTTCTTCCTTAGAAGCTTCAGTCGGCTTCTTTAATCCAGCAGGTTTCTTCAGGCCACCACCTGCTGGTTTCTTTAACCCTCCTTCAGGTTTCTTTAATGTACTTCCTCTTGGCTTATCATCTGCTGGGAGTAGCTTCACTTGTGCGGATCTAAAATAGATAAGTTCAGGCTCTTCTCCATCAGGAGTCTCAGTTTCGTCCATGTCAAGGCCAAGCATCTCTCCTTTCTTGCCTTCTACCTCTCCTTTAAACATGACTGTTCCTTTCTTGCCTTTGTGTGAAAATGCATTCACTTGGACTCGGTCACCTTCTTTAATCATCTTCCAAGACATTTCTGCCGATTTTCTTTAAAATTATAAATTTGAATGGGGTTTTGGGGTTTTGGGGTTTTGGGGTTTTGGGGTTTTGGGGTTTTGGGG